TAATAATAATAATAATAATAATAATAATAATAATAACAGCAATGGTCATTGCTATGATTGTGATCACTCCATGGGTGGTTCTACATGGAGTTGCTGGCGTCGTTGGATATTAATATCTCCTGCGTATATATATACATCATCACCTCTACATACTATACGGAGAAGTACCAGTACACTATCATCATCTTCTAGTGTGATGGGTATGAATGATAGCCAAACTAATAATAATAATAATAATAATAATAATAATAATAATAATAATAATAATAATACGAATAGTGGTATCACAGAACCAAGAGAACTTCAATTCTATGAAGAGTTTCTCATGGATGAAGAGGATGTACATTATCTCTTATTACATGAAGCCCACATCAAACACGGTGTATTATTGAATGTACCTCCACAATTAGCCCCAAGTGGTTCACCACCGGAAGTACCAGAAGTGATACTTCCAACCGCACAAGCAGAGAGATTACGAGGATTAAAATTAGCGTACGAACCCACTCACATGCCACCACCACTTAGTACTACTGGTACTAGACAACTTATTATTGAAGATAGACCTCTCTCTACAATATCAACATTAAAAAAAGGAGTGGATGTTGTTCAACCTTCTACTACTACTACTACTACTACTATTACTACTAGTGGAAAAGGAGGAGGAAGTAGTACAACTGCAGTTGTGATGCGACGTTTACCAATAGATCCAAGTATGCGATTTCACTGTAGTGCATGTGGTAAAGCCTTTCGATTGGAAATCTCTGCTGAACATCATGTAAAGTTAAAACATCCTTCTAATGTAAAGGCTTCTGTAGTAGAAGGACCTGGGGCGGGTGAAATTATAGATGAAGCTGCCACTATCATTACTACTACTAATAATACTAATACTAATACTACTTCTACACAAGCCTCAACATCAGGAGTTATACAGGAAAGTATAGGAGTTACTGGATCTTCACAAGAAGCGAATACTATATTAACAGAGAAACCACAAGAAAAAAAAGTATCTTCTACTACTACTACTAATACTAATACTAATACTAGTAGTAGTAATAGTGGTAGTAGTGTTGGTGTAAGTTCTGTAAAGGTACCATATAATAAAGCCACCTTATCACTCCCAAGTGAATCCCTAGTGGATGAATTACTGAAAGAAGTATGGGATACCGTAGCTCTCTCTCGTGAGGATGTTCCTAAACAAAATGCCCCCAATGCGTATATTCCTTTTCATACAATAGTCGAAGGCACTGCAGATCGCCGTGCAGAAATGGCGGCAATTGTGAAACCCACCGCACGGGCCACACCAGAAGGAGCAGCACCGGGAATTAAGAAAACAGGGATGGTGGCTGGGGGAAGTATACTCGCCGGAAAGGGAAGATCAACCGGACAGATATTGCCGATTAAAGAACTTGTAAAGAAGTATCCAAATCCATTTGGGGATTCACCAAATGCGGCATTACTGGAGTTGGAGAATGAACCGGTTAATCCATTTATTCCACAAGAGGAACTTGCACTTCAATTACAGATTGCACGTGAGGATACTCCTTCTGTAGCACCTATCATTAATACTACTACTACTACTACTACTACTAATAATAATAATAATAATAATAATAATAATACTAATATTAATAATAATAATAATAATAATAATAATAATATTAGTAGTAGTATTAATAAGGGTAATAATAATAGTAAAAATGCGGGAAATGCAGAGTTAAAAGAACGACTACGGGCATCAAAACCAAGTCTAGCACGATCTGCCTCTATACGTCGCTTTACATGTCCTATCTGTGAGTTAAAACAACAACAAGTAGATGAAAATGAAAAAGAAGGAAATGATGGAGTAAATACGATTCCTTCATTTCGTCTTTTAGATGCCCTTCTTGATCATGTAGAGACCATGCACGAAGGGGAAGAACTCACAGAAGAACAGATGCGAGTATTATATGAAACTCAACGAAAGTCTATATTACACGCTTCAGCTGAAAGCCTTTCTCATGATAAAAATGGAAAATATCTTCTTAATAATAATAATAGTAATAATGGTGGGGATTCCAATGATTCTATTAAATCTGGTGATCATCCTACTTCCATAGACACAACAGTGAAATTAAAATCCCTACCGGAGGAATTACAACAGGCAGCCCCACCTTCTGCTGTAGTGGAACAACAGACCTTATCTGTACATGTACGTGCAGGAAATAATACCGTATTGCTTGGCCGCATTGCAGACATTCAACATGGATTTCTTGGCTCCACTGCCGTAACACAATATGTATTGGAGGTAAATGGAGAAGAAAGAGTCTCAACAACAACAGAAAAGAGTGAAAAGAGTGAAAAAGAAGATCAAGAGATTGAAAAGGAGTTAATAGTGATTCGTTGCATGGGAGATAACTTTCCTGCGGCTCTCTTAAAGGAACAAGTGAAACCGGGTAGTATTGTACTTGTGCAGGGAACTCTAAGAATGAATCGTCATATTGATGCGGTGTCTAAACGATTGCATGCGTATCCGTTTGTGCAGGTGGTGCCACCACTGGGATGTGTGAGAGTCGTGCGATAAACACAAACATCTCTCTTTCTATCTTTATATATATATACATATATTTATTTATTTACATACATTTATTCACATTTACAAAAAGAAGAGGAATATACTGAAAACTAAAAGAAAAACAAAAGTATGAGAAGAAGTACAAACAAAACAAGAAAAAATAAAAAAATAAAATAAAAAAGGAAAAGGAAAAAATTTCCGTTGACATGTGAATATATATTATATATAATCTTGATATTCTTTTTCTCTTTCTCCCTTTTTTTTCTTTTCTTTCTCTTTACTAGTTTATTACGAGAAAGTAAAAAACAAACAAACAAACATAATAAAAAAAAAAAAAAAAAAAAAAGAATACAAACTAATATCAAGAGAGGTAAAAAAAGAAATGTCTGGTCTTTCTCTTGCACAGGCGCGCTTGCGTGAAGAACGTAAAGCATGGCGTAAAGATCGCCCTTTTGGTTTTTGGGCAAAACCGCGAGAGTTAACAACTTCTTCAACCTCAAACAACACAGCAACAACCGGTAGTGGCAACAATAATCACAATACTCATACGAATAATAATAATAATAATAATAATCATACAAGTAGTACGGGGTCAACAGTAGCTGTCTCATCAAGTGGGAATCATACTCTTCACACCAAAACGACCCTTGGCTCTACTACTAGTACGACTACGAATACGAATGGTACGAATAGTAATACCAATCATAATAGTACGAATACTAATAACGACGTCATCAGCAGCAGCAGCGGCCCTACTACTACTAATACTATTAATAATAATAATAATAATAATAATAATAATAATAATAATAATACTGGAGGAGGAGGTGGAGGTTTGGATCTGCTTGAGTGGGAGGCTGGTATTCCTGGAAAGCCCGGCACTCCCTTTGAGGGTGGTGAGTTCCGCCTGCTACTCCGCTTTACGGAAGATTATCCAACCAAACCGCCCAAGTGTGTTTTCACGCCTGTGTTATTTCATCCAAATGTCTACCCGAGTGGAACGGTGTGTTTATCTATTCTCAATGAGGAGAAGGACTGGCGGCCGAGTATCACGATTAAACAGATCCTGCTGGCTATTCAAGAACTGCTGGATAATCCAAATATTAAAGACCCCGCACAGGAGGAACCGTATAAAGTTTATATGCGAGATCGTAAGGAATATGAAGAGCGGGTGCGGCAGGAGGTGGCGAAACACCACCAGAAACGTTTGGTGTAAAGAAGAGAAAAGAAAAAAAAACAGAAAAAAAAAAAGAAATGCATCTGGACAGGAGAGAAAAAAAAAAAAGGAGGTTGAGAACGCAAATAAAGAAGAAAGAGACATAATAAAAGAAAATGAAAAAAAAAAGAAAATGAAAATGAAGAAAGATGTATGTCTGTATTTGCTTTTTCTTTCCCACCTTCTTTTTTTCTTTTTTTATATGCATGTGAAGGAAGAGGACAAAAGGTTTAAAAAAAAACAAAAAAACGAAGAAATATAAAGAATATGATGAATTAAAATAGAAAACGAAAGCGCATACATGAAGGGGGATATAAAGAAGAAGAAGAAGAAGCAAGAAAATAGACATTTACTACCACATATTTACGGAAAACAACGAAGAAGAAAAAAAGAATCTGTTCTACTATACTTGTTTCTTATGAAAGACTATATATATATATATATATATATATAGAGAGAGAGAGAGAGAGAGATGTGAAAGAAAAATATCTTAATTTTTGTTGTGCAATGTTATTATCATTATTATTATTATTATCATTTATTTGTTCTTCTAAAGGTATCAAGAGTACATTTAAACAGTACATACCTGTGCGTATATAGGCATATATATATATATATATATATCCTTTTTTTGTAATCTTTATTTATTTATGTAAATTGCATTTCTTTTTTATCCCCTTTTTCCTTACTAATAAATTACATCTGATGAAAGACAGCCACAAGAAGGAAAGAAACGGAAACAGAACACATATATATAGAGGGTTAAAAAAAGAAAAGAAACAAAAAAAAAGGAGAAATGGGTCGTGCCTCTAAAGACAAGCGGGATATGTATTACCGCAAAGCCAAAGAAGAGGGCTACCGTGCGAGAAGTGCCTACAAGTTACTACAACTTCACGAGGAATTTAATATTCTGCAGCGTGAAAACATTCTAACGGGTGTTGTGGACTTGTGTGCCGCACCCGGTAGCTGGTCGCAAGTACTCGCTTCTCATCTACGTACTCCAGTGGATCATTCCAATACTAATAATAATAATAATAATAATAATAATAATGATAATCTCAGCAGCAGCAATAATAATAATAATAACAATAGGGAAGAAGAGACATCGCCGTTCCCACCTCGTATTGTGGCAGTGGATTTACAAGAGATGATGCCCATTGACGGCGTGTGTTTACTGCAGGGGGATATCACAAGTGAGGCCACCGCCCGGGAAATTATTCGCCTCCTTAACGGCGGTAATGAGGAAATGATGAATGAAGAGGCGAATGAAGATAATTTGGAGGAACAAGATGCGGCAAGAGCGGGAGAAGGTAGCCTCGGCAATACTAATAATACTACTACTACTACTACTAATAATAATAATAATAATAATAATAATAATAATAATAATAATAGTTCGAGAAAAGCAGATCTTGTGGTCTGTGATGGAGCTCCAGATGTGACTGGTATGCATGAGTTGGATGAATATCTGCAGCATCACTTGTTGTTGGCAGCACTGAACATCACGACTTTTGTACTCCGACGGGGTGGGACGTTTGTTACTAAAATCTTTCGTGGCCCAAATACACCGTTTCTTGTGGCGAAATCTGAAGTTTTCTTTAGACATGTTATCATTGCAAAACCAAAATCTTCACGGAATGCATCTATGGAGGCATTTATGGTTTGTCAAGATTATCAACCACCGGCAGGATATTCCCCTTCTTTTGAACATCCACTCACTACGATAACGCACTGTTTTACTCCAGAAGCCCCACTTCCTCCTTCACTTCTTCTTCAACAGCAGGAGCAACAGCAGCGGAAAGAGGAAAAAGAGTTGTATGGAGAAGAGGTAAAAGAAAAAATACATATGCAAACAGTTGTGGTGCCCTTTTTAGCCTGTGGAGATCTCTCTGGATATGATGCGGATATGTGTTATGATCGTGAAGAAGATGCCCCTATTCTTCCACCTGTTCATCCACCAAGACAGGCACCCTATATAGCCAATAATACACCAGTAGGAGTAGGAGTAGCAGGTGCTACTAATACTATAGTGACTGGTAGTGATTGTAGTCGTAATACTGTGGAAGATGAGATGAAACGTCGGCGTGTAGAGTGAGGGTTTTTTGATGAGAATGATTTGGTTGTGTGTATATATGTCTCTGTGTGTGTGTGTTTACTTGTTGCCATCTAACAGAGATGGTATATTTTGGTGCTAACTGGTAAGGATCTCACCTGCTATATACGATATAAATATAAATAAATAAATAAATAAATAAATATATATATATATTTACTACTTTCCTTTAATAATCAAAAGATGAGAAAAAGATCACCTTTTTCTTTCCTCTTGTGATGTGCATTTTTTCTTGTTTTTTACTTTTCTTTTCTAACTTTCACGGTTTTTTTGAAAAAAAAAAAAAAAAGCAACACTAGTGAAATCCAAAACAATCAATCAGAAGGCGAGTGACGACAGCAAAGAAACAATCATTCAATTTTCCCCCCTGCAATTCTGAGGAAATCTGAGATCTTAGTCCTTCCTCAATAAGAAAGAAAGAAAGAAAGAAAGAAAAAAGGGAGTCCTCGTGTGTGTATATTTTACCCCACTCATAACCACACGACGTCTTTCTACCATTATTATTATTATTATTATTATTATTACTATTATTATTATTATTATTACTATCTGTGAGTTCTTGCTCCATTTAAACGCATTTCTCCAATTTCCATTTCGATGTCTGCCCCTGCCGTTGCCCAACATCATCATCGTGGGTCGGATCCCAACAACAACAACACGGCGGAGTACCTCAACCCGCTGGAGCTGCAGTGGGAGCGGGCGGAGGATCTTCTCGCCGACGGCAAACGCGCCGAGGCCCGCCGGGTGCTGGAGGCCCTCGTCACCACCGCCGTGGAGGCCGACGCGGTGGAGGAGCTGCGAGTGAAGGAGCGGGCGGTGTATCGCCTCGCCGAACTCCTCAGCGTCGAGAAGGATGTGGAGGCCCTCTTGCAGCTGCCAGCCTCCGTGCGGCCCTTCTTTGCGCAACTGCCAAAGGCGAAAACAACACGAATGGTGCGGAAGTTGTTTGATCACATTCTCACCAGCGGCGCCCCACTCGAACGACAAATGGAAGTTTGTCATGAAATGATTGCATGGGCTCGACGGGAACGACGTACATTTCTGCGGCAACGTTTACAACACCGATTGGCGGAATTGCAATTCGCCCAACACGCACCGCAGGATGCCTTGTCGACATTACAACCACTCCTACGAGAAGTACGTCGATTAGATGATCGTGCACTTCTTTTGGATATTCATTTACTTGAAAGTCGTATTTACTTCGCCGTACATAATATCAGTAAAGCACGTGCCGCTCTTGTGGCTGCACGTACGAATGCCAACAGCATTTATTGTCCACCACTCGCACAGGCGGAGATTGATCTTCAAAGTGGTGTCCTACATGCAGAGGAACATGATGCCAAGACTGCCTTTTCATACTTATATGAAGCCTTTGAAGGATTTCATCAACTCGGAGATCAAGCACGACAGGCACGTAAAGCTTTACATTATATGATTCTTGCAAAAATTGCGACAGATACTCCAGATGAACTTTCAGCCCTTTTAAGTTCAAAGAATGTATTGGAATACAGAGGAAGTGATATGGATGCCTTACGAGGAGTGGCAGATGCATATAATGCCCAGGATACACATTTATTTAATCGTATCATGCAAGAAAATCGAGGGGCGGCATTTCTTGAAGATGATGTTTTACAAAGAAGACTAACAGAGATGTATAATAGTCTTTTGGAACGTCATTTACTGAAATTACTGGAACCCTACAGTCGTGTACAGATTTCTTATCTTGCGGAATTGTTAAAATTGGATGTGGATGCGGTGGAATCACATGTATCTCAACTCATTCTGGATAAAAAATTGGCTGGTATTGTGGACCAACAGCATCAATGTGTGGTGATATTTGATGAACAGGATGAGAAACGAGCCAAAGCCCGAAAAGAAGAAGCCGCAGCGGCTGGAAATAAAGAAGCAGCAGGAGGAGGAGCCGCATCCTCTTCCTCAGCAGCAACACCAGGAATGCCAGCAATGGAAGGAGAAAAAGAGAGTACAACATTATATCAAGATGCCCTCACAGCATTAGAAAAGTATGATCGTCTTGTGACTGCCTTGTTTGATAAGGCAAATGGAAAATTTGATGCTCTTGTGGAGGAAAATATGGCGAAGCGTACGGCAGGAAGAAAGGATGATAAGAATAGTAAAAAGAAGAACGATTCCAACACAGATGAAAAGGGAAATGAGGGAAAAGATAAAAAGAACACCAACAACAACAATAGGAATAACAAGGATGATAACACTAGTGGTAGCAATAATAACAACAACAAGAGTAGCAGCAGTAAAGATAAGGATAACAAGAAAAATGATAGTTAAAGTAATATGGATCTGCAATACCTTGGCTTCTTT